GGTGCGACCATGGCCGACCCCTGCTGCTCAGTCCAGAGGGGGCAGCAGAGGTCCAGCTCTGCCAGGCAACTATGTAGGGCCAGTAATGTCAGAACTTCTGTTTTCTGGAGACAGACCGCATTTATACTTACACGTGAAATTTTTCTAATTTTAAAACAATGCGTGGGCCAGACAGAACGTGCTTGAGGGCTATACATCGGGCCTGCTCCCCCCAGCTTATAACCCCTGGTTTCCACAAAGCTCTTCTAGAACCCCAAGATACTGCTGCTGGCTTTATGCTCACTCTGCAGAGAAACCACTGAGGTGGAGGGAAGTTTGCAAATCTAATTAACCCTGGAAAGATGGTTCAGATGCAAAATCACGGGTTCTTTCCCCAAACAACACAGCCTCATATTTTACCTCGAGAGAGACTTCTTCTTAAGGGTAAGAAAACCTAGGCTCAGATGAGGGCTGTGCTAATGACAGATTGCACGAGGTCAGCTGTCTCAGTCTGGTCCTTTCAAGGCATGGTGTTGTCTTTTATTCTGCGCTATTTGTTTTCTAAAGACCTATGTCTATAGGCTGAAGGCCTCTGACTTGCAATTAGAACATGTGCTTGGAGTAGCTTTCAAGTAGCAGAGCTGTGTGTGCGCTCAAACATCCACACTGTCTCAGCTGGCACCTACTGTGATTCAAATCGAGAGATGGGAAACTGAGACACAAGAGCAAGATCAAACTTTAAGATAGCTGGCAAAGGGACACCTGAACTTGGCCTGCAGACTGATTTTGTTTGGCCCACCCAAAATGCTATATAATAATAACAGTAATATTAATAATAATAATACGGGCTTCCCTGGTGGCGCAGTGGTTGAGAGTCTGCCTGCCGATGCAGGGGACGCGGGTTCGTGCCCCGGTCTGGGAAGATCCCACATGCCGCGGAGCGACTGGGCCCGTGAGCCATGGCCGCTGAGCCTGCGCGTCCGGAGCCCGTGCTCCGCAACGGGAGAGGCCACAGCAGTGAGGGGCCCGCGTACTGCAAAAAAAAAAAAAAATAGTAATAATAATAATAAAGTAAACACGATTGCCAAAATTGGAGACCAGGAGATTCTACATAAAAATTCAAATTCCCATTTCTTTTGCAAAGGCCAAAAATCTGTCACGTTGGTTCTTTATTGGTACCTGGCAAGATCACCAGAGCTGGGTGGTGGCCACCCCCTTCCCAAGGCGCAGACACTCAGCAATTCTTCCTGGTCTCCACCTATTTCTGTTGTCTCCCTGAGGCCAAATATCAGTAACTATTTATCATTGTGATTTTGTCGTTCTTTTCATAAGGGAAATGAGATGTCTCCCGTAGCAATGTTTCTTAAAAGTGAGAGAACAGACTGAGAGAGCTTGCAAGAAAAATGGGAGAGAATATCTTTCTTTATGAAGGTGAAGACTATTGTTAACATATTTATTAAACGATGTAATGTTACTTTCTTGGTCCCTGTTCAGCACCTCTGAGTTTACCGCCCTGTTTTAGAGACTACCTAATATAGTCTAATATAGGTTAGTCTAGTAGACGGACTACCTAATTAGACTTAATCAGCCCAGTATGATGAATCAGCTGATCGAACACAAGACTGGTCAGAAAGAGAGCTGCAGCCTGCTGAGCCTCTGGCCCCATGGCAAGTGGCCATTTTCAACAGGGAAACACTTATGGTAAAAGAAGATCTTCTTTGTCCCTCCCTCTGAGGCCTTTTCTCAGTATTTTCATAGAACGCCAATTTCTCCATTCTCCATTGGCCTGAGACTTCCAGCTAAACACAGAGCCTATTTGAAATGCTGCGAATTCCCCCATAAGATCTGGTGTCCTCATCCATCCATTTCTGTGTCCCTCCCTCTGGCTTCTTGAACACAAGAACAACCTTGAGCAGTTTCGCCAGGAACAAGAAATAAAATCTGTGACGCTTTTAACATCCCTAAGAAGAAAGCAAACATTGTTCTTGCTTTTTCCTCCTGCAGTTACAAAGGACTGAAAATGGGCTGTTCATCCCTGTTTCTGCTTTATTTTGTGTTAGATTTGTAACTGAACCATAGTCAGCAAAATATAACCCCCTACTGTATTGATCAGATCATTGTTACCCATCCTTTTTTTAAATTTTTTATTGGAATATAGTTGATTTACAATGTTGTATTAGTTTCAGGTATACAACAAAGTGAATCAGTTATACGTATACATATATCCTCTCTTTTTTAGATTCTTTTCCCATATAGGCCATTACAGAGTATTGAGTAGAGTTCCCTGTGCTGTACTGTAGGTCCTTATTAGTTATCTATGGTATGTATAGTAGTGTGTATATGTCGATCCCAATCTCCCAATTTATCCCTCCCCACCCCCTTACCCCCGGTAACCATAAATTTGCTTCTACATCTGTAACTCTATTTTTGTTGTGTAGATAAATTCATTTGTACCCGTTTTTTAGATTCCACATATAAACGATATCATATAATATTTGTTTTTCTTTGTCTGACTTACTTCATTCAGTATGACAATATCTAGGTCCATCCATGGTGCTGCAAATGGCATTATTTTGTTCTTTTTTATGGCTGATTAATATTCCATTGTATATATGTGCCACATCTTCTTTATCCATTCCTCTGCTGATGGACATTTAGTTCGTGTCCATGTCCTGGCTATTGTAAGTAGTGCTGCAATGAACACTGGCGTGCATATATCTTTTCGAATTGCGGTTTTCTCTAGATATATCCCCAGAAGTGGGATTGCTGGATGGTATGGTAGCTCTATTTTTTAGTTTTTTAAGGAACCTCCATACTGTTCTCCATAGTAGCTGTACAAATTTACATTCCCATCAACAGTGTAGGAGGGTTCCCTTTTCTACACACCCTCTCCAGTATTTATTGTTTGTAGATTTTTTGATGATGGCCATTCTGACCGGTGTGAGGTGATATCTCATGTTACACATCCTTGAACTGACAAAGTTTGGGAGATGTCATGGGCTGGCAATTTGTAACTGTTGCTTTACAGGGAGGGGCCAGAATCCTAGAAATTGAGTTCTAAAGGAGACCTTACCAAAGATGTGGTCCTTAAGTTACAAATTCAAAGGCTTATCAGGACAAGTCACTTTCACGGGTCAAGCAAGCCTAGTGAAGACTCATAATGATCAAAGAAGGTACCTACACTCATCCCCAGCCAATTACAGACACGGAGGGATGTATGTGCAGTATTAGCAGATTTTCAAATTGTTCAAAAGAAGCCAAAAATCTGATACTTTGGTGAAATCTTCTGATTTCCCTAGGTCAGTAACTAATTCATATTTTGTTTTTAAATACTCTGGACCAAATTAGATATGTATGCAGAATAGATTTGGTTCAAAATTACCAGTTAAGATACCTCCAATCTGGTTCTAACTCTTCATTTTTGAAAAAGGAAACTGAGGATCCATTAAATGATATTCAAAGGACAGTTAAGGAAAGAGAGCTGGCATTCCCACCCACGCTGATTAGGAAGCTAAGGCGGAGCTGGTCCAAGAGATAAAACAAGAAAACTATTTCCCTCTCAAATAAAGAACAATGAGGTTTCTCAGCTTTTGCCCCACCATGATGATTCCTTCTCAGGGGAATAATAACCCATCAGTCAGAACAACCCATCTTAGCTCATTTTCCATGAAGGAACAAAGTTGAAACGTTTTCCTTTTTTTTTTTTGAGGAAAGTCTTTTGTGATGATACTAGGAGCAAACAATTACTAGGAGTCAGTCAGTATTTTTAGAATAAATGAAAAGGGGAATGAGTTACGTACCCACACCCACACATGCTCGAGAACAGTGGTTTCAGAGTTTGAGCACTGCCTTTGGAGGAATTACCCCTACATCTACTGAAAGTTCTGTATTGATGAAAACTGGCTCTACAGAGTTACTGATTAACAGCCAGTTTGGAGGTCTTGTTTTGTTTTCTCCTCTGTCAGGGCTCAGCAAACTATAGCTCATGGGCCAATCTGTTTCCACAAATAAAGTTTTATTGGGACACAAACACACCCGTTTACTTACAAATGACCATGGCTGCTTTTGTGCTACAACAGCAGAGTCCTGTAGTTGCAACAGAAACATTATGACTCACGAAGTCTAAAGTGTTTACTACCTGGTCCTTTACAGAGAAAGTTTGCTGACGGATATTATGGACCCATAATGCACATTGTAGGGCACACTTAATGTTTGGGTATAAGGGACTAAGAAGATGATATTGGGAACCTGGAATTAAAAACTCAAATGACTATAGAGGAAAAATTAAATACAGGCCAGGAGAAAACTGTTGTAAACCAGAGTGCCTTTTCTCCATCTCAAGGGCAACAGTACCTGCTCAGCCCCAGGGATTGTCACCCAGTGGCAAAGCAGGCCCAGTATTGTCAAATCCTTGGACTTTCCAGGAACATCCATAAATCTGGGTTTTTATGTGAAATCTCCGTTTTTTAAATGTTTAAGCAAACACTCTACAGGTAACTACAAGCGCCACCTCTTCATAATATCTATTGTGGTCATCAGGGGATGATCTTATCTTTCCCATTTCTGACCAGCCTACAGAAAAACGGATTGATGGGGAACAGAGATTTTGTGACAAAGTAGTAATTAGAAGGAATCTGATGTCCAAGGGCTCATTACCAGGTCTGTTTTAAATGCCAGCACCTTTTGTGTTTGCCTTCAAACAACACCAAACACCTAAATCACCGTAGTAAACACAGATAAAGAGAGACAGAGAGGTTAAAAGTATACTCATAATCTCTTGTTTTTTTTTCCTAAATGTGTTTGAAAGCAATATTGTCTCGTACAAACAATATGACCCCATTTCTAAAGCAATATTCATGCTAAGCTAGTCAGCTGTTAAATATACCCAGCAGTTTGCATTATGATGAAGCTAAGCCAGAGTTTCAATTATTTTCTGGACACATTTAAAATTATAATACTTTACTGGGTTAGTGTTATAGTTCATCCAAATTACTCACAAACTATCATATCAATCTCTTGCAATGGCTAACGCCTTACAGATCCGTGAAGTTAGGCGAAATAAGAGACTGGCCAGGGTAACGACCTTCATGCTGATGTTGTGTTTTCATGGGTCCACATCACTGATAGTGTGGATGGCTAATGATCAAAAGCTAGTTTTTGCTGCCCATGATATTTAGGCTAAAAGAAATAAGAAGGGAACACAGACCACTCTTTTTTTCCTTCTCCAAGAAAATACCTGGTTTGGTGCTAACATTTCCAGCAATCCACTGCACCCCACCTCCTTACAAATTTTACCTCTTCTGCCAAATGACTTCTTGGAAACTTGGCCCCAAGTACCCACAGTTGTCATTGCTATTTTTTCCCTTCTCCATGACACTGCTGCCAGCACCCTCTGAAACCTCAACATTCCTGCCTCTCCCCGGACACTCAGCTTCCGGTGGTGCACCTTGTTCCAGACCAGTGGTACAACTAAATTCATCAAGAGCAGGTCCTGTTAATCAGCAAAGATTTATGAATATTACCACCAGCAGTTGCTTGAAATTCGTGTCTTCCTAAAGACAGCCTGCTGTTCTGAGACCCTCATAAACAACAGGACCTTTTCATAACCTTCCAGGATACCATGTGCTCAGTGTGTCTGCGTTAATTTATAACTGGGCATCCAAAGGCTCTGTCAGTTGGCCCTTTGTTCTGAGGGACACAGGACACAGTGTCACTTAAAGAGCAGGAACCTTAGGAGCAGGCTCACTTGGGCTCACTCTAAATGCTAACTGGTGAGGCGATGAGGTTCTCCAAATGCCCAGAATCAGCCAGGGTGTCTGGAGAGCTAATACAAGACTTAGACACATGCAGACTTATAGAACAAGGTCAGATCCCAACAAATAAATCCATTAGAAGACTGTTTTAAAAGATTTCTTATTTTTTCAGGTTATCGTTGCGTTGACAAAATGAAGTAAAAGAAAACAAAAAAATTATCTATTTCTTTTAATAGTTTACCCTTAATATCTAGGGTTGTACTATCCAACAGAGAAGCCACTAGCCACCCGTGTTGATTTAAATGTAAACCTGAATCAATTAAAATGAAAAATTTCTTTCTTCATTGGAACAAGCCACGTTTTGAGTGCTTGGTAGCTACACGAGGCTAGTGGCTACCATATTGGACAGTTCAGACACTTCAGATTTCTATCATTGCAGAAAGTTGTGTTGAACAGCATTGATCTAGAGATTTTTGTTATTCAAAAGCAGCTTTATGGCTGCATTATCTATCTGTCTATTTGCCTATCAGGTGTTATTACAGCTTATGGCAGGGCTCCCTAGAGTATAACATGGGTACCACTGGTGGCACTCAAGATAAATTTCACGTCAAGGACCTTTTTTTTTTTTTAACTTCTGAAAGTTATACAGTTATTTCAAGGTGAATTAAAAAATATATGAGAAGAATTAGGCTGAGTGAAAAAAGTGAATCTCAGAAGCTTACATACGCAAAAGCTTACCTCCTCCATTTATATAACACTCCTGTAATGATAAAATTATCGAGATGGGAAACAGATTAGGAGTTGATGGGGTGGGGGGTGGCCGTCGCTATAAGAGGGTAGCACAAGACGTCCTTGTGATGCAACTCTTCTCTATTTTTTTTTGTAGTGGAGGTCGCACAAATCTACACATGTGATAAAATAGCACACACATGAGCGTAGGTAAAACTGGTGAAATCAGAATAGGTTGGTGAATTGTATCTGTGTCAATTTTCTGGCATTGCACTCCAGTTAAGCATGATGTTATCATTGGGAACACTGGGTAAAGAGCACATGGGATCTCTCCATTGTATTTGTTACAACTGCATGTGAATCTACAATTATCTCAAAAAAAGTTAAAATATACGTATATGACCAGTACATCAAATCCAAACTATTTGAATATAATTTCCTAAGATCAAACTAAAGGAATAAAGTGACAATTCAAAGAAAAAGTGGCAAAGAATAGTAAAGAGGTTGTGAATATGAAAATAAATGATGAGTGTGATACATGAGAGACTGAAGCTTGGAAAACTCTGACACTGCGATTAAGAAACAGACTCTGGAATGAGACGAAGCTGGTATCTAATCACACTGACTAGCTGTGCAACCTTGGGCGAGTTCCTTAACTTCTTTGAGACTCAGTTTCCTCATCGACAGAATAGGGATAATAACAGTACTGTTCTCATGACATTATTTTGAAACTTTGATGTGAAAATGTATGTAAAATGCTAGTTCATTCTCCAGTTCACCCTAAGAACTTTGTACATGGCTGTTATCATTGCATACGTGCATAAGAATTGGTGATGCTTAATTATTCATGAGATTGCTTAAATCAGGGTTGGCAAACTTTTTGTGTAAAGGGCCAGAGAGTAAATATTTTTGCCTTTGCAAGCCATATGGTTTCTGTTGCAGCTACTCAACTCTGTCATCGTAGCACAAAAGCAGCCATAAGTAAATTAATAGGTGTGGCTTTGTTCCAATATAATTTTATTTACAAAAACAGGTGGCAGGTCAGACTTGGCCTGCGGGGCATAGATTACCAATCGCTGGTTGAAATCACCTTCTATTGAACTCTGAGGGGAGTGAGAAGCTATTGCAGGCAGACCCACTCTTTTATTCCCCTTCTTTCTTTCTTTCTTTTCTCACTCACCACCTCCTACGCTTAGGGACCATTCCATTACTATGCCAGCCTGAGGTCAAGTCAAAATAGGCTTTGCTAATTGTCCTGCAGTGTGTACTTCTATTGATGTGAGCCCATCACAGGTCCCCCGGGTCTTGTACATAGTAGGCTCTCAATAAATATTGAGTGATTGATTGACCCATTAACAAAGAGAGCTGAGTCCCGACAAAAGTTAACGGAGATGGGATTGCCAGACCCCAGGTGCCCTGGGTGCAGAGGAGATGCTAATATCCTCGCAGCCCTCACATTGATTTCATACCGTAGAGACTGCACAGCATTTTATTAGAGATTGCATCATTTAATCATTCAAATCTTCACAACACTGCTATGGCAACTATTTGTAGCTGTGTTTTATAGCTAAGGAGACTGAAACTCAGAGACACCAAGTAGTTTTCCTAAAACTGTATGGCTTACTGTCAGAACGGAGACTTCAACACATTTGTCCCTATTCCAAACTCAAGTCTCTTTCTGTGATGTCACAACTGCTGCTAAAGAAATTTTTAACAAATGGAAAAGTGGCCTGGTTGCTATTGCAGTAATTCTGCAGTGTAAACTTTAAATTATAAAAGAAGACGAGGGAATAGGTTTAAATTCCCTCAACTTCGTGTTATTTGGAGTATAAATGAAAAATTCCATTACAGCAGTATTTGTGGTATAATTCCAGTTGTATCAAAGTACATGTAATACTATAAAATTATAATATATAATCAAGAATCTATATGACATATAGAATAAATATACATATTTGATTAAGTGTATATGTACACATTCACACACATATAATCTTAAAAAGAATGCAAGGTGGGAGTTGGAAATAAATGGCTCACAAAATACATTTAACCTCCCAACTTACTTTGGTCAACCTGCAAAACATTAATAAATTTGAATGCGTAGGCTTCAGATAGGGCAAATGCTCTCAGTTTATTACAGTTTCCACTCATCCTAAATGGCTTTTCCAATTCTACGAGTCTAAGATTCAAACAACCCACTTGTTTTTCCTCAAACTGGGAATGACTCTGCTGGAGGTGCAGAGGGAAGGGGCAGGTGGGATCCGCCTTCTCTCTGTGTCTCCCGGAGCAGGGGATGCCTGGAGAAGGCTGCCCACGGGCCAGTTCCACGCAGACCCAGCTGGGCCCACCTGGATTCTTCTTTGTCCCATTCCCGCCTCCACCCAGCCCTGTGAAGCTCCAGTCCCTTTCCACAGCAGATGACCTATCTCCCCACTTTACCACGGGTCTTGAGACTTCCCAGATTGTCTCTCCTGCTCAGTTTGTCCGACTCTTCCCACAGCCATTTCTCCTAACTTGCTGGCTCAGAAGAAAAAATAACGTTTCTTCAGATGAGCTGACAGCCCCACCTGCTTCTGCATGCTGCCTGCCCCCCTAACCTCTCTATCTCCTTTGAATTCATTTTTACTTGACCTGCAACACTTTCCCCTCTCCCTCTGCACATTGGCCTACACATCCTCCCTCTAAAAGCAAACAAATAAAACAAACAAACACAACAAAGCTGCCCTGCCCAAGCCTCCCCTTTGGCAGCTACCTTTCTCTTATCTTTAACCTGGAAACTTCTCTGAAGTGAGCCGTGTTCCCCTCCCTTCTCCCTGAGAGTCATCTTTTACTTCTTCCGTGCAGATGAGAGGGAACAGGTGTTTGCACTCTGGCACTACAGGCACACACACACACACACACACACACACACACACTCACTCCTAGCTTAGCTACAAAGAAGCCCAGCGGCCATGGGAGCTTTGGTGACAGGCCTAGGGTTTGGGTCTCAGGCTTGCCATAGCCGTATTCTGACAATGACCTTGGGCAGTGTCCCCTTATCTACAAAAAGGGTACAATAACATATTTCCCCTCCAGAATTGTTGCAAAGGTAAAATGAGATACTGTATGCAAAGCACCTCTCACATGCTATGTGCTCAGTAGCTATTATTGTATGTATGTATGTATGTATACGTGTATGCCAGTATAAATGTGTATGTATGTGTATACATATGTGTACATGTGTATATATGTATTATATATATATATAAAATCTCTTCCTTTAATTAGAATAGTCTGCGGTCAGTAAGCATGTCAAACCCTCACTGCCTTTCCCAGAGGACTTAGCATTGTAAGTTTCACTTAGAGGCGCTCTAATACACGTGTGTGAAACCAGTGAGCAGTTGAGAAGACACCATATTAACAAGGCTATTGCTATTATTTTAATAAAGCTCAGGTGTCTGAATGGCTTAGAGTTTCTCAGCCTCAGCAACACTGTCATTTGGGGTCGGGTAATTCTTTACTGTGGGCTGCTGTGCCCACATTGCAGAGTGTTTAGCAGCATCCGGGATGCATCCCACCAGATGCCAGTAGCGTCTCCATCATTCCCACCCCAT